CCAAAACGGCGCTCCCTCCTCTCTGAATCCCCTCCCTCAGCCACAGCGACCGCCTCCCCAGCCGCTCCAACCGCAGCCCACCCACGAACCAAAGTGTCGTCGCCGCACCAAATACGAGCAGCGGAATGCACCGAACTCAACCACGCCCTTGTCCTCGTGCTGCAAATTTCCATTCACGACCCGTCAAACCACCACACACAACCCAGTTCGGTTTGGAGGAGGTAGCAGCATGAGCAGTTGCGGCGGGGACAAAATGCGCAGCACTTGGTGCACCCATCCGCCACGTCGAGGGGCTGTTCCGGGAATTCAACGCAAGACCTCTCGCACCCTAAGCGAGAATCATACCACTAGACTAAACAGCCGACGAATCCCGCAGGTGACCTTCCACAGCGCACCCCCACGCAACCTGCCCTGTCCTCCGCTAGTCACCTGCTCCGCTGCATCGCACTATTTTCCGACACGCGCTGCCCACCTCTCCCCTGCAAGCCATCTCCCATGCGCTTCCTCCTCTTCACCTCCAAAACGGCGCTCCCTCCTCTCCGAACCCCCTCCCTCAGCCACAGCGACCGCCTCCCCAGCCGCTCCAACTGCAGCCCACCCACGAACCAAAGTGTCGTCGCCGCACCAAAAACGAGCAGCGGAATGCACCGAACACAACCACGCCCTTCTCCTCTTCTTGCAAGCTTCCATTCACGACCCGTCAAACCACCACACACAACCCACCTCGGTTTGGAGGAGGCAGGAGCATGAGCAGTTGCGGCGGGGACAAAATGCGCAGCAGTTGGTGCACCCATCCGCCACGTCGAGGGGCTGTTCCGGGATTTCAACCCGGGAACTCTCGCACCCGAAGCGAGATTCATACCACTAGACTAAACAGCCGACGAATCCCGCAGGTGACCTTCCACAGCGCACCCCCACGCAACCTGCCCTGTCCTCCGCTAGTCACCTCCTCCGCTGCATCGCACTATTTTCCGACACGCGCGGCCCGCCTCTCCCCTGCAAGCCACCTCCCATGCGCTTCCTCCTCTTCACCTCCAAAACGGCGCTCCCTCCTCTCCGAACCCCCTCCCTCAGCCACAGCGACCGCCTCCCCAACCGCTCCAACCGCAGCGCACCCACGAACCATAGTGTCGTCGCCGCACCAAAAACGAGCAGCGGAATGCACCGAACACAACCACGCCCTTGTCCTCGTGCTGCAAGCTTCCATTCACGACCCGTCAAACCACCACACACAACCCACCTCGGTTTGGAGGAGGCATCAGCATGAGCAGTTGCGGCGGGGACAAAATGCGCAGCACTTGGTGCACCCATCCGCCACGTCGAGGGGCTGTTCCGGGAATTCAACCCGGGACCTCTCGCACCCTAAGCGAGAATCATACCACTAGACTAAACAGCCGACGAATCCCGCAGGTGACCTTCCACAGCGCACCCCCACGCAACCTGCCCTGTCCTCCGCTAGTCACCTCCTCCGCTGCATCGCACTATTTTCCGACACGCGCGGACCGCCTCTCCCCTGCAAGCCACCTCCCATGCGCTTCCTCCTCTTCACCTCCAAAACGGCGCTCCCTCTTTTGCGAACCCCCTCCCTCAGCCACAGCGACCGCCTCCCCAGCCGCTCCAACTGCAGCCCACCCACAAACCAAAGTGTCATCGCCGCACCAAAAACGAGCAGCGGAATGCACCGAACACAACCACGCCCTTGTCCTCGTGCTGCAAGCTTCCATTCACGACCCGTCAAACCACCACACACAACCCACCTCGGTTTGGAGGAGGCATCAGCATGAGCAGTTGCGGCGGGGACAAAATGCGCAGCACTTGGTGCACCCATCTGCCACGTCGAGGGGCTGTTTCGGGAATTGAACCCGGGACCTCTCGCACCCTAAGCGAGAATCATACCACTAGACTAAACAGCCGACGAATCCCGCAGGTGACCTTCCACAGCGCACCCCCACGCAACCTGCCCTGTCCTCCGCTAGTCACCTCCTCCGCTGCATCGCACTATTTTCCGACACGCGCGGCCCGCCTCTCCCCTGCAAGCCACCTCCCATGCGCTTCCTCCTCTTCACCTCCAAAACGGCGCTCCCTCCTCTCCGAACCCCCTCCCTCAGCCACAGCGACCGCCTCCCCAGCCGCTCCAACTGCAGCCCACCCACGAACCAAAGTGTCGTCGCCGCACCAAAAACGAGCAGCGGAATGCACCGAACACAACCACGCCCTTGTCCTCGTGCTGCAAGCTTCCATTCACGACCCGTCAAACCACCACACACAACCCACCTCGGTTTGGAGGAGGCATCAGCATGAGCAGTTGCGGCGGGGACAAAATGCGCAGCACTTGGTGCACCCATCTGCCACGTCGAGGGGCTGTTCCGGGAATTGAACCCGGGACCTCTCGCACCCTAAGCGAGAATCATACCACTAGACTAAACAGCCGACGAATCCCGCAGGTGACCTTCCACAGCGCACCCCCACGCAACCT